AGGGCAGCAGCAGTCAACTCCAACCTAGGTAGAGTAACTGGCCGCACAGGAGCTACCTTGCTTTTTGCTGTAATTAATCTACATGAAAATTCATAATCGTTTATTTGGCAACGAATATACGAGCAAGCTCCATATGAAGCTTCTGAAGAGTCTGAAAAGGTATGTAACTCAATATAGGTAGGATTTTTAATAAAAACATGTCGAGGAATCTTTATTTTATTGATGTGTATTAAATCCCTACAAAAGGAAATCCATTTATCCCGAATATCACCTAAAAGTTCTTCGTCCCAAGAAAACTTACCCTTCCAAAGCCCTTGCAAAATAACCTTGGCTCTTATTATTACTGGTCCTAACAATCCTAAAATATCAAAAATTTGTCCAATAATTGAAAGTATTGTTCGTTTAGTTATATTTGAAAAGTCTGAAAAATTTTGAATTTTATATTCAATAGTATCGAAATGTGCATTCCAATATACTCCCAACGTTTTATTATTTTCATTTACTCCCAATTGTAAAATACTTGCATCTAAAGAACTGTTTATGTCAAACTGCTTGAATAATTCTGGTTTATTTGAAAGATATTTGCGCAACTGAAAACCTGCACCTGAAAGGATTTTGCTAACATCCCTTTGGAGCTGCAACAATTCTGTTTCAGAATCTGAACCTACAAGTAAATCGTCTATATAAAAACAATTCTTGATAACCTCACTAGCTAAAGGATATTTTATTTTATTATCAATTGAAAGTTGCAAAAGACAACGTGTTGCTAAAAATGGAGATGAGGCCAATCCGTATGTTACTACGTTGAGTTCGTAACATTTTAGATTTTCCGATGGGTCGCCTCTCCAAAATATACGCTGATAATGCCTGTCTTGCTTGTCAATGACTACCTGCCTGTACATTTTTGAAATGTCGGCATTTAAAACAAAAGTGTGTTTTCTAAAATTCAAAAGAATAGTGTATAAATCATTTTGTACTGTAACGCCTGTATGCTGCACGTCGTTCAATGACAAACCGCTGTCTGTGCGAGCAGATCCATTAAAAACCACGCGCAACTGCGTTGTGAGACTCGTTGTTTTTATTACTGCATGGTGACTTAAATAATATGCCTCAGCATCACCATCCGAGAGCTCTTCGATTTTTCCAGTCACAAGACTCATATGCCCTAATGACTCATACTCAGCCATAAAATCTCTATATTGCTGTCTAACTACCTCATTTTTCAATAGTCGTCGCTCCAAATAATTAAAACATTTCAGAGCGTTGTGTTTTGAATTTCCTAACTGCATTTTATTTTCTTTAAAGGGAATTTTAACTATGAACCGTCCATCTGCGTCGCGTTTATAATTTTCCTTAAAATGTAATTCAGAACTATCATCAATCTTGGCAACACTGCCAAATTTCTCAATTTCCCAAAATCGTGTTAAATTTTTATTAATTTCGTCCTCAATAGATAAACAAGAAAAAACCTTATTGTTTGTGAGTAAAGAATTATTAATTTCACCCGCCAAAATCCAGCCCAACTTGGTAGACTGTAAAATTAAATGCTTATTCAATTTTATTTGATTCATTAGAAGAATTTCGTAAAATAAACTAACTCCGCATAAAATGTCAATGTCTTTTTTGATATTAAATTCTGGGTCTGCAAGTGTCACGCCTTGAGGAATATTTAAAAAACTTGAATCGAAACTGCACATGGGCATAGGTTGTGTTATTTTGTTTAAAATCAAACAGCTGATTTCTTTCGAAAACTTTCCATTGCAAGCTTGTATTTTTACCTCAGTTTTAACATGTGTCCTAATTGAATTATTATTACCCACACCAGTTATTGAAATATTTGTCTTTGTTTTGGTTAAACCTGCCTTATTGCAAAAACTCTCTGTTATAAAATTCGACTGTGAACCTGGATCTAATAAAATTCGAGCCCTCAAATTATTAAAATTTTCTTTATTTTGAATAAAAACATCAGCAGTCGATAAAAGTGCATATTTATTATTATTAGTTTGTCCTTGTCCTAGCAAGGATTGTGAGGAAACAAGGTTTGTTTCTTCCTCTGCTACATGGTTTGTCTGATGTACCGCGCTTTCTCGCTCTTGTGGAGGTCTCGGTACCCCTTCAATTTCCCTATTGCCGCCATTGTTGTCTCTGTCGGCCTGTGGTGCCAGTCCGTCTGGCCTACTATGTTGACTACCAGCTGTGTTTGGAGTGCCATCAATATGTAAAAATGAATTTATGAATCTTGAACATCTTCTACAAGGAGCCTTTGGACACTCCTGTACTGAATGACTTGGATTGAGGCAGTTCAAACACAGTTGTAGTCTCTTAATCTCTTTATTTCTTTTATTGATGTCTAATTTTATGAATGAATTGCATTTAAAAATCGAATGATGATTTTTACAATAATAAGAAATGAACTTTTCGTTGTTTGATGCAACATTTTGGCTGCAATAAGAGGTCTACCTCTATTATACTGCCTTTGAGGTGGCTGTGATTTACTAAATTCGCCCTTGGAATTCTCCAATTATTCCAAGAGTTCACATTTTTCGCTTAAAAAATCATTAATATTTTGCAAAGTGGGAAGGTCGCCCTGGTATTTATATGCCTCCCAATCGCGCCTTGTGCGATAGTCAAATTTACTGCTAATTAAATAAATTAAAAGAACTGACCACTCATTGGTGGCTTGACCTAATGCATCTAGACTGGGCAGATTTTTTGTAAAAGTGTCAAAAAGATTGCGTAAATCTGCGTACGATTCTCTGGTTACTGGGGGTGCTTCAAATAAAGCTTTCACATAATTAAAAATAATCAATTTATTGTTGTTGTATCTTTGCTTGAGTAGCGACAAGGCAACATCATAATTTTGCTCAGTCACTTTTATCGATTCTATCATTCGCGCGGCCTCACCTTCTAGGTGCGCACGCAAATAATAAAATTTTTGCAAAGCATCTAGGTGACTATTGTTATCTATCATAGATGCAAATGCATCTCTAAATTCTAACCATTTATCATACGAACCTGAGAACTTGGGCAGCTTTATTTCTGGCAATTTGATAGAAAAAGAGGAAGTTCCCTGAACACTTTGTTGGCTTTGACCACCCTGTGACCCTTGAGACTGAGTACCCCTGACGGAGTTGGTGTTATTAGGTTTTAAATGTTTGTCTTCAAATTCTGATACTATGACAGTTGCTCTCGAAACTGCATCATAGAACTCATTTTCAAAGGTCACTATCTCGTCACTTTCCTTTTGCATGTCAGCAAGAGGTACATTTTGCTCAATTTCACTGTGGCATTCAGTAAATTCTTCAAGCAAGGGTTGAATTTTATTTAATCGTGCATTAATTTGTGCAATTTTGATTGTGTCAATGTTGTTTATATCAAGAGAATCAAGAAACGTTTGAAATCTAGTTAATGAGCTTTTTAATTGGCCTCTTCTAATTCTTAATTTGCCTAAATCGGCCATTTTGCTATGTCAAGCAATTGTTCGAATGAACACAAAAAGAAATGTAATAAAAATATTAACGAACCGTGTCAGGTAAGTCTACGTTTAGTCTAGCAAATCTACTTTTTAATAATTGGAATTGACTCACTCAATGATTCGGCCTGGTCGTCATACAGCGTAGGCTTTGCCAACCGCTGATCGTCGTCAAGGGGAGTACGTGAAGTCTCCATGTACAAAAATGGCTGCCTATTAATACAATTTATTTCAACATTCCATCACAAATCCATCTCGAAAAGCTACCATCCGCTCGATGGGACCAAAAATATGTATTTGGTTGATAGTGGACTGTATAAATTGCTGAATAAATAAGATGGTAAACTTTTATTTTGATGGTTTATTGTACAAACTAGGAAATATTCGTTACAAACAAAAAGGTAATGTTTACTGTTGAACTCTACAGAACCGAATGACTATCCTTGTCGCGCGCGCTCAATCCTTGGTTGGCGCTGCCAATTGCGGACGACTTGGAACTAAGATATTGCCAAGGATAAAGCGAAATTTAAATTAAAATAATAATTTTTTCTGATTTAGGCCTTTGGGTATGAACAACTTGACTCCAATCTCTTTCCTGGCTAAAACACATCAGGGACTCTGTGACGAATAGAGATATTTTCTCTATGTCTATTGACGTCCACTCTCTATCGATTACGAGAAGAGATAAGCAGACAGCAAGTGCCATAGCGATAGGGATAACGATCTCTATCGGTTACAGAGTCTCAGCCCACAGTACTCGTTTTTATGGTCTCTGACCTCTGACTAATGAGTTGGAGGCTTGCCCCTCATATTTCTGGATTCTTCTGCCATTGAGCGCCAGTTTATGATCTTTTTTTCATGTATAAAACTCCCTTCCTATTTGGGAGGGACAGCAATTGGTTTTGTTCTGTCCTTATATTTTTGCTGTTTATAGTCCAAGAGGCAGTAACGATTTTCATACTCATTTTTCCAGTCAGACAACATAGATAGAATTGTAGGGCTAGTAATTCTAAGCAAAATACATTAAAAAAAACCCCTAAGAGGGTTTTCCGATGGGTTGAGGCGCAAAATGCGTTAAAGCTTACGAATGCACGGCCCTTTTTTTCTCAGTGATAAAAATAGGTCTAGTAATGAGAAATATACTAAAGTTACGTAAAAAAATAGTCCGGCTAATCTGCGAGTATGGATAATATGTCTGGCAAGTGAAAAATTGAAGATCCGAAAATTTTCTGCCAGACTCACTTTCACTATCTGAGATAAGCCAAATTGCTATTTTCATATACTTTATGTTATATTTTAGTAAATGTGAAATATTTATGTCTGGGAAAATAAGCGTAGTTGTATTTTTCATTGATCTTGTGAACCCATCCAAAAATTTTAGCTAGACTTATAAATTCTTGCTTTGTATCACCAGGAGAACGAACTATTTAATAGACACCCACTGGGAAAATAAGTGCTACAAAATTTCACTGCCTCCTGGACTATTATTATTGAGGGAAGTTATTCAATTAGAGAAAATACAGTCCAGTTTCAAAAGCAATGTATATTTATTTACATTTTATCACATTATAGGAAAAAGCAGTAACTTTGTCAACTGAGGTACTCCGAAACCCATAAATATACACAATGGTTAAATTAAAAAACCTAATAATTTTGTCTAACAGAAAAACACCCTCGCAAAATAAACTAAAATAAAAACAATAATTAACATAAGTATATTATATATAAAAAAAAAACAAATATAATATAGATTACTAAAATGACTATAAAAGGCGTAATAATAAAAATATATTCATAGTTTATATTACAAGGTGTTAGAAAAACACAGTCTAACTACTATAGTCTGGACACTCAAGTAATTCAGATGCCTTTTAATGAGTGATGAATATTTGGATTAATTTGGAAAGTTATCCCAAAATTATTTGAGTGGTTAACAAATTGATCAATGGGCGGGTAGCCCTTGTTGCGGATGGCAAAAATTCAGAAGTTCCTATAGGTTTGTTCCAACACTGCTCTTGTGTTTGTAGAAAAAAAACGTACATGATATACATGCTAAAAGTAACTGTATTTGGTTAACCCATTAGTGTATAGCGTTCGTTTAATCGAACGCGCCATTTTTGTCCGGTAAAAAAGACGCCTGTGTTAACTGGCGACTCGTCATGGCTTAGAAGTGTCATGTGAGTGTGAACAGAGTGTTTGGAGCATTTGAGCCGATCCCGAACTAATTAGATTGAGTTATTTAGATTTTTGATTGTTATGGATGCGAGTTTATACAATTCTCGACGGGGCGGGTAAGTGTTTAAATTTTTTTTATTTTTATTGTTGATAATATATCAACAATATTTGTGTCAAGCATGCATAAGATCATATATTTACTGTTTCCAATATTATAAATATCTTAGTTATTATTTTGACATTGAAAAAACTGATGTTTTGATTGTGTTCGTTTTATCGAACACTATGCAGCCCGGACACATTTGCTGAAATTATTGTTTTTTTTTTTTAGATTGACGCTTTCAGAGCTTATAGATTGCTTGGAAGATAGTGAGGTAGAATGCGGCAATGTTTACATAATTCCACCAACAGATGGGGCTGATACTGACGTTGATAGTGACCTATCCGATGACGATCATGAAGGCAATATTTCCCATTTAGGTCCAGCTATGTTACGCGCACAAAGTGAATTCGCTGCTACGAGGCATCAAGATACAGATGATGAAAATAGCGATAATCCTCTTGAAAATTTGCTTTCAAATGGAACTGCCAACCTGCCCATATATTCAGAACCTGCTGGATCAGACGAAGACCAGGATGACAACATACCATTGGCAAGATTGTTTCCAAATGCAGCGGCCAATTTATTGGCGAAATCTAAAAGAAAGCTACCAGCTAAGAAAATAAAACTTGATGAAACATGGACTAATCGGGAGTTGCATTTTGATATTTCACAAGATTGCAGTCAAAAGAACCCACCCAATATAGTATATGAGAAGAAAACGCCATTGGAATTTTTTCAGCTCTTTTTTGATGAAGATGTTCTTGAAAATATCGAAGTACAAACAAATGTATATGCACAGCAAAAAAATTATGCATTGGGCATGACTAGACAAGAATTGTTAGTGGTTCTTGGTGGCCTTCTACTATCTGGATATGGTAAATATCCAAATAAACGTTTATACTGGTCGAATGAAAATGATGTTCCAAAAATTTTATCGGAGAGCATAAGACTAAATAGATTTGAAGCAATTTTGAGATATTTACATCTAAATGATAATAGTCGCATTGATAAAGAAAATAAATTGTATAAGCTGCAACCTCTTATAGATAAACTAAATCAAAGTTCCAAAAAATATGGTGGTTTGGATGAACACCCAAGTATCCACGAGAGCATGATACCGTATTATGGTAAGCATTTTGCCAAACAATATATAAAGGTAAAACCAATAAGGTTTGGTTTCAAAAACTGGGCAATATGTACCAATAATGGCTATATGCTAAGTTTTGACATATACACCGGAAAAAATAATAAAAATCAAAATCAACCGGATGTATTTGGTTTAGGTGGCACCGTAGTACTAGATTTGATAAAACTGGCTGAAATTCCAGCCAATCAAGGTTATAAAATTTATATGGACAATTATTTCACATCCATAAAACTCCTCGATCACCTGTCTACATTGGGATTCTGCGCCACAGGTACAGTTTGAGAAAATAGATTAGGAGCTTGCCCACTCAAAAATGGTTACAAAAAAATGGCGAAGGAGAAACGAGGTTCGCATATATACTCGAGCACTGAAAAAGTTATGGTGTGTCAATGGAAGGATAGCAAAGTAGTTACTGGAGCATCCAACTTTGAAACTCATGAGATGAAAAACACTTCACGTTATTGCAGGGAAAGTAAAGCCAAAATCTTGATACCGCAACCTAAGATTTTTGACAATTACAATAAAGGAATGGTCGGCGTGGACAAATTAGATGGATTGGTCGCAGTTTATAGAAGCAGAATGAGGCAGCGCAAATGGTGGTGGCCGATATTTTCATATCTCTTTGATGTTTCCGTTGTGAACGCATGGTTGCTTTTTAGGAAAATCCATCCATCTCATGAAATGTCCAGTGCCTTGTTAAAATTCCGAAGATATCTAGCTTTAAGTCTTTTGAAAGCCAATGGCCAAAAATCAAAGAAGGGAAAACTTACACCAATTCATGACGTGAGGTTTGATAAAATAAATCACTTGCCAGAGTACTCAGAAAAACAGAAACGTTGTGCCAGTTGTGGAAAGAATGCAAAGTTTATATGCGTCCAGTGCCAAAGAGGATTACATCCCAAAACTTGCTTTCTACTGTATCACACACCTTAGTTTCACTTCAATTTTTATTTATTTTATGTAGAATATTTAATATTTTTTATTTAGCCTGCGATATAACGAACATGCTGTATTTTCTTTTGTTAATAAAATATTTAAGAAATTATGACAAAAGTGTGTTTAAATATCTCTAATTATATCATTTAAATAATAGAAACTCAACATTTAAAATTTTTGTAACCTTATGCACTAATGGGTTAAGAGGGATCCAAACTTCCATTCTCACAAAATAAAACGTTACTTTCAGGACTTCCATCATAAAAATAACATATCTTTTTACAGCTATAATCATTCAGGCAATCTATTTAGTCCAGTTTTTAAGGTCACATTGTTTTCATAACTCATATAAAATAGCAGTTATTGGAGTTTTCCGGAGTATAGTTCTTATGGTAAAGTTATAGTTTGTTATTAACACAACAAACCTTGTTTCTAGACAAAGTACAGATTGAAAAATGATCACAACATTCAAGTTTACCCTTAACCTGCACTTCTTCACCCAGATTTAATACCAGTTTTGACCCAAAAATAGCAATAAATTGATTACCATGTTTTTATTGTAACAATTACAGTACGGCAAATTAGGAAAAACTTTAAAGAAATTTTGTTTCAAGGCTGGTTAACACACAGGCTTGATTGTTTAGCTTTTACATGAAAATCGAAACAATAATGTCAACTTTATTAGTGCTCAATTATTTAATCTGAAAACCTGTAGCCCCTCTTCCACCTAGATGTTCTTATCCTTGTCTGATATTTTTAAATCCGATTGTATTAGGCTGGGATTACACACATTCTCAATTATAACAAACTGCTATTAGTATTAATGTAATTCGAAAAGGGTAAAGACCAATTAAGGACCTATTTCACATTATAGTTTATCCAACTTTTCAAAGTTTTAATTCGCCTTCTCTGATAAAGATAATTTTTTTTTTTTGGATTTTCCTACATAAAAACACTCACAGACATGGCAGATGAATTATAAATTTTGAGAAATTAGTCAAATGAATAGTGATAAACAGAACTAATTGCCTAATAAACTTAACCACATTTCTATATTTTTTTTGTATATCTGACCATGACCATTACTTTCATTAATAGTTAACATTCTGTGTTATTCCGCCATATAGTTTGTTTATACATACATAGATTATAATTATATTGTGACTTTTCTTCTAGAATTACAACTCTTTACAATATGTATAATGTAAGCTTATTTTTTAAAATATGTCTGGACATTCACACCAATTTTGTTCGTTTTTACTTGTCCAGTAGGTTCCCTTATATGTGTGAGTTATGACATCACTGCCTTCTTCAGTTTGTTGCTCGAACCAAATTGGTTTGTATGGAGTATAGGGTCGACCTAGGACAAAAATTCAACAATGTACAACAATAATTTTTGAATAAGGCATACTGACCTTCAGCTGCCGCTTTTTCCGCATCAGCTTCTCGTTTCCGTCTCACAGCCCTTTGTTTCTCTTCAATTCGTAATTTTTCCTTATTCGCTTGCTCCCAATTACCGGCTTCCATTAGCCTACAAACAAAATTATTTACAAATGACTATCTAGAAATCAAATTTTTGATAATATATACCTCTGATCAGGCCTCAACCTAGTATCAGTAGGAGCCACTCCCTCTTCAGGTTCATTAAGTTGAGCTGCAAGCAGTGTAAAGTTATAAAATCGTTCAGAATCCTCTGGAGGTGGTCTACGTTTCCATGCTACCACAGGAGTACCGGTTTGGTAAACTGGATTAGACGGTGTGCCAGTGTTACCAATAACTGGGGCAATTTCAACCTAATTTTGGATTAACTTGAGTCAAATCAAATATAACTTTTAGGACATTTTACCTGTTCATCCCAGGTTCCATTGATAACCCATTTAACATTTCCATTATCCATAACAACCCCTTTAACTCTTCTTTGTGAGTCTCTAGTGAAATATGAATAGGGTATGTATTTTAATTGACAATTAATTCCTGTAGCCGCTCCTTTACCAATAATTTCCATGTCACCTGTTAGAAATCCATTAATAATTATTGTGTTAGTTGTTCATTTACAGCAATCTCCAAAGATATACTCATGCTAGCAGCGTAATTGTTTTTCTAAATAGTGCAGAACTTGTACTAAAGGTCTCTGTACTGGACCAGAGCATTTTAAAAAGGTGTGTCCAAATTAATCTTAACTCTACACCATTTATGTTTCTGAGTCTAGTGATTGATAAGGAATTACTGTTGCTACCACCTATTTCAGTGAAACTAGATAATATTTTGTGCTGAACTTGTGTGAACTGTACTCGTTATTACTATAACATAGATTTTCTTCAGTTTGTAGCTATATTTGATTTCATCTTGAATCACTGAATATTTAATTTGATGTGACTCTAACCACTAATCAGTGTTGCCAACTACGGATCAACTATTATAGTATAGAACGCTATAAAATTATAGTACATTTGTACAAATTATAGTATCCTGCTGGAGACAGATGACCACCAATTGTCCTGGTGGGACACACAGAGATCGAATTATTATGAAATTTTCTGGACAAAACGAGAAAAGTCAGGGGCGTATCATACTAAAATTTCAAATTTTTTTCAGTGAAAAATAACTCCATTGGAAATTAATGAAAATCAACTAAATCAGACATAAATGCACCATCTAACATTTTATTTTTTTTCTAGAAAACTATCCAGGGGAAAATTATGAAATTTTCTGAAAAAAAAAAGTCAGGGGCGTATCATAGTAAAATTTCGAATTTTTCCAGTGAAAAATAACCCTATTGGAAATTAATGAAAATCAACTAAATTAGACATAAGTCATAAATGCACCATCTAACATTTTAATTTTTTTCTGGAAAACTATCCAAAGGAAAATTATGAAATTTTCTGAAAAAAAAAAAGAAAAGTCAGGGGCGTATCATAGTAAAATTTCAAATTTTTCCAGTGAAAAACAACCCCATTGGAAATTAATGAAAATCAACTAAATTAGACAGAAGTCATAAATGCACCATCTAACATTGTAATTTTTTTCTGGAAAACTATCCAAAGGAAAATTATGAAATTTTCTGGACAGAACGAGAAAAGTCAGGGGCGTGTCATGCTAAAATTTCAAATTTTTCCAGTGAAAAATAACCCCATTGGAAATTCATGAAAATCAACTAAATCAGACATAAATGCACCATCCAACATTTTATTTTTTTTCTAGAAAACTATCCAGGGGAATATTATGAAATTTTCTGAAAAAAGAAAAGTCCGGGGCGTATCATAGTAAAATTTCGAATTTTTCCAGTGAAAAATAACCCCATTGGAAATTAATGAAAATCAACTAAATTAGACATAAGTCTTAAATGCACCATCTAACATTTTAATTTTTTTCTGGAAAACTATCCAAAGGAAAATTGTGAAATTTTCTGGACAAAACGAGAAAAGTCAGGGGCGTGTCATGCTAAAATTTCAAATTTTTCCAGTGAAAAATAACCGCATTGGAAATTAATGAAAATCAACTAAATCAGACATAAATGCACCATCTAACATTTTATTTTTTTTCTAGAAAACTATCCAGGGGAAAATTATGAAATTTTCTGAAAAAAAAAAAGAAAAGTCAGGGGAGTATCATACTAAAATTTCAAATTGTGAAAAATAACCCCATTGGAAATTAATGAAAATCAACTAAATTAGACATAAGTCATAAATGCACCATCTAACATTTTAATTGTTTTCTGGAAAACTATCCAAAGGAAAATTATGAAATTTTCTGAAAAAAGAAAAGTCAGGGGCGTATCATAGTAAAATTTCAAATTTTAGATATAATTTTAGATATAAATGCACCATCTAAAAATGTCCAGGAGAAAATTATGACATTTTTTGGAAAAAAAGAGGAAACTCAGGGGCGTATCATAGTAAAATTTCAAATTTTTCAAATGGAAAATAACCCTATTGGAAATTAATGAAAATCAACTAAATCAGACATAAATGCACCATCTAACATTTTATTTTTTTTCTGGAAAATTATTCAAGGGAAAATTATGACATTTTTTGGAAAAAAAGAAGAAAGTCAGGGGCGTATCATAGTAAAATTTCAAATTTTTCTAGTGGAAAATAACCTCATTCAAAATTAATGAATATCAACTAAATTAAGCATAAATGCACCATCTAACATTTTATTTTTTTTCTGGAAAATTATTCAAGGGAAAATGATGACATTTTCTGGAAAAAAAAAGAAAATCAGAAGCGTATCATAGTAAAATTTCAAATTTTTCCTGCGAAAAACAACAAAATTAAAAATAATTTTAAAAATTAAATAGGACCCGCTCAGGAAAATCAATGAAATTGACAATTGACAGTGTAAATCCAGTCACCAAAAAAACACTAAACTAATACTTTTGACAGTTCACATTTGAAATGTTTACTGTCAAAAAATACATGCTCTATATCAATACTGAAACGACAGAGCCTATTCAGCTGAAAAAAAAAAGGGTGACTAGACAATAAGGGCTTGCACGCTAACACATTAAGAAACCGGAAGGATTAAGGATTTGTTGTTAATAGAAAGTAGGATTAGGCAACAAATTAGGATTTAAAATAGGCTAAGGAGAACTGGAATAAGGAATTTTCCAGTAAAAAACTAAATAATTTGATAATGCATAATTATAGTATTTTAGGCGTACTATAATGATCTTTGATAGTATAGTATTTGTAATACCCATTTAGAATAACCCCATCCTTATTTATCAATCACGAATCAGATGAAACAAAAAATTACCAACCAAAACGAACGTCGATTGCTAATACGTCAATTTCATGTACAAATAGGAAATTCCTAACCTAATTTTATTTGTATATCAAGAAGCGACATACGTTTTGTCACTTTGTCACTAAATAGGTATTAAAAATACTATACTATACATAGTACATAACCATTCAATTATAGTACAAATACTATAATTATAGTACGGTTGGCAACGCTGCCACTAATTAAGAATTCTTTGAATAACACACACTTTTTATAATGCAACTTGAGCCTGATTTTCCTACAAACCAGTAAGATAGCTGATAATTTGACAGCAAGTGCATCACAAAAAAATGCTTACATGCCTTCAAACCTTAACCTTTACTGTAACATAGGTAATAAAATTCTTACCGTGTTGATCGACCCATAATTTCCCAACAATAATATTATGAACAGTCGTAGTCACTTTTCTCCACCCAAATTTATTACCGCTCTTTAAAAACTCTACTTGGGCACTTCCCAACGGGATAATTTGTAAATATTTCCCTCTAAACTTTGACGTCATAGTGAATTCTTGCCAACAATGCCACTCAGCCCCTTCACAATACTGAGCCACTATTGGAGGATGATGGGAGACTTGTTCGTTGAAACATCTCCAGCCTAAATCATCGGTTCTATCGCATTCGTAGGTTTCTCCTAAAAGTGGATTGAAAGGTTTCCCTGTTCGGTTAGACGTTGTAGAGTATGACGATATTGTGTAGGCAGCAACATAAGCTAATTGTTCACAAGGATCTGTACATCTAAAAAAAAAATTAATATTGAATGAATAATTTTCCTTTGACTGTAAATTCTTACTGGGCTGCCCGATCTAAAATATCTGCATATTCATAATCCTCTGTTAGTCTTTGTAGCATGCTTAGAGGTTCGTTAAAGTTCACGGGCATAGGAATTTTTGATAAATCTTTGCCGATGCAATTTTTCATGATTGACCATAGATTTAGGGGATAGTTGGGCTTGTCTGGTATTCTAGTTCTTCTCCTACGCCTCCCGGCTGAAATTAAAATTAATATTATACTAGTAATAAAAGATGTTTGATAAGATACCTTTAAAAAATGTACAGGATTTGAACAGAAATTCAGATAATCGATTATGCATTTTTCTCATTTCAAGTAAGTAAAAAAAAATCTAATTTTTTTATAATGTTTATAAATTTAATATTTGTTTATGATAACGATAACATACCTTTAGTATCTTGATTAGATGTAGCCACTGTTGCCACGGTTGCGTCAGCATCGCTTTTGGTTGTACTGTTAGGGTGCTTACTCCCTGTGACAACTACTACCTGGAAAATAGAATGGAAAAAAAAAAATTGAAAATGCCTATTTGAGTTCACTTTTACCCTACACGATTTTTCCTACTTTTTTTGAATACGATATGCAATTTCTTCATCAATTTGGGAAAGGAATGTGAAGGGCAAGGGCTGGAGGACTGTTAAAACCCTAGAAATTAGGTAAAGACATTTGGAAATTTGGAAAAATTCTAATACAAGATACTTTTATTGGTTATCATCATTTCTGTTTTTCTCGAAAATTTGTTAATTTAACTATCCAATATTAAGTTCAAATTTGTTTGTTTATTGCGAATTATATTTTGCGCTTTTTCTCCGAGATCAATAATATTGTATGTTGTATCCCTGCTTTCCGGTAGGTGTCGCCAAGACTTTAAAGCCACACAAGCTAAAAAGTTGGTAATGTCTACTGATATTCCCTGCTCTTGGCGATACCGATACCAACCTCACTTCTCTACTTTGTGTGCATGGGACGCAACGTTTTTTAACCGTTTACATTTTTTACAAATAATTTTCATTTTGTGGTGTTTTTGTGTGAAAATATCATGGGAAAACATCGATCTAGATCTTACTCGAGTGATACAAGTAAAAATGAGTATTTGAAACGTTGAATTGCAGATTCGACGCCGCCTTTAGGAAAAATCACGACGTGGAAAAGACCTTGATTCACGCCCCACTTCGGTTGATATGGGCGTAGTCGACACTGTCGAAGGGACTCGGATTCGGAAGAGTCTGAACGAATTCTTTAGCGGAATCTGTTGAACTTGATATTGTTTTAATCTAAATTGCTCACTAATTAACAATAATTCACCAAACACTATTTAAATAATTGTAAAATACTAGGAAATACGACATTGAACTTATTGACTCATGACAACCTGACAATAATGCAATCCTTTTCTGAACTTTTAAGCTCCGCCTGTTTGTTTACCTCTACTCTTTCGTTTCGGGGAATGAACTTCAGGTCTAGAGAACCAGAAAGCCTCTTATCCAGTTATGGGTAGATGAATCCACGACAAACTGCTGATGAAGAAACTGTTGATTGTAAGTAGCGTTGGTAAATATTATTCAGCGCCGAGGCCGAACAGTGTACCGGGTGATTGTCTATATTTTGCACCGATACCTATCTCACCTGTTCGAAAATATACCCAGAAATATCAAATGTGAAAGTTGTAGGTAATATCAGAAACTTCGCGATGAACTTAGTTACAAGTATACAGGGTGTGTCGCAAAAGTGTGACAAAGCAAAGTTAAACTTTTTCAAATGGAACTTTACGTTTCCGGTAATAAAGAAACCGTTTTTAAAAAATTAACTTTAATTTAAAAATTACAACTTCAAAAATAATAAAGCAAAAGTACTTGTGAACAGCTCAAAGTCTATGTCTAATCTGAAAGTTAAAAGTTTATTCGCATGGGGCATCCTGGTTTCAAGCTTACACAGTTCTCAAGAAACTGCTTAGGTCGGCGATGCAATGGTCAGCATGTTCCCACGAATGGCACACATAACTCCTCCATCCCTAGAAGGAACTCGAGGGTGGAATTACTCGTGTTTCGTCAATGGTCTCAGTAGCGGGAGGTTTTCTCAGGATTCTTGAAATTTTCATCTTGTTGTTTTTGATTGCGAAATATATGCCGCAAATCAATATTGCAGTTATTAGGATCCATGGAAGCCAATTCATGTATGTACTTTGGTGAATTTTGGTAAATTCTAGAAAATCTTCTGTTGAACTCCGAAGTTGAAGTTCATGTAGCTTGTCCAAAGGGATTTTCTCTAATTTGATCTTCTCGGTCTTTGACACTGGAATTTGAACTGATTTTATTTCGTTAAGGGTGACTGGATGACCATGAAATATGTCCTTTTCATTTTTGTAGACATATTTAGGCATTTTTATTGAACATTTTGGCGGGACTGTGAAAAGGTGGGTTCCTGTTATTGAAGTTACTTCGCTTTCTACACAGTCTGTTTGAATTCTTTGTTCTTCCGGAAAGATTCCAATATAGTGGGCGGAATCGATTTCTTCCATCATGGCTTCTTGGATATGTACTGGTACTTGTTGACATTGGTCCAAATTGTTGCTTAATGTCAGCAGTGACGTGATACAATCAGGATTTTCGTGTATAGGTAGAAGTCGATTGTGTTTGCAGAAATAGTTTGGCTTGAGGTCAATGCATTCTTCATTTTGGTATTGGTAAAGGTCCGTACTTAGGGTGAGGTAGGTCGAAGGTGGTATTATGATGGATTGACTCTTATTAGGTACGGAGAAGAGGTGGTAATAATCGAAAATATTTGAGTGCACAAGAGGGAAATCCAGTGAAAACACGATTTTATTTTCTATCGCAAAAACATTAGTTTCTATGACTTCGTAATAATTCATGTATTCGTTTTGTGAAAATAACAATTGTGCGTGGTGGTGAGAATTATGAAATTCTTTGACGATTTCTTTTAATTCTTTTTGTGGAATTATGCTATGATGTAAGGTTTTTAAACTAGCAAAACTTATGGCATTTTCTATATCGTTTAGAAAATTAAGCACAGAGTCCAAATTTAACTCAATTTGGTCCATTATTTCGTGAATTTCTAGGTAATGCACGTAATTAGATTTTGTTTGTTGTAAATCACTAGCAATGTCATTAATTTTATTTTCGATTGCTTTTTGATTTCTCGAAACTACACTCATTGTTTGATTGATACTTGTCATTAGGTTAGAAGTTAAAGATATTTGTTTATTTACTTTTTCAATTATTTTGTTTTGTTTACTTTCGAGTTCCATAATATTATCATGTATTTCCTTTGCGTCTTCTTGGTCCAGATTACCAGTAATGTATTTCACTAGTGAGCCTAAAGGGTTAATTAAGCCTCTTTTTGATCTATGTCCTGGACTGATTGATTTTAATTTCTGATTGACTACGTTTACTTCGTAGCTTAAGTGTTTATAAGTTTCAAGTAACGGAAGTCTGTGCGCAATTAAAGAGCAATTAATGATGTTTTCTAGCTTTTCATATTGATAGGTTATAGAATCAATTTGCTTTTGCAAAGATGTCAAATCGATGTAATGTAAGAATGTGCGGGTGGCTATTTTCATCTTGGCAGTTCCTAGTTTAAAGGGAAGTATGCCAGGATTGTTGTCAAGATTCTGTATCTGAACTTTCTGTGCCCTCGTCAGGTGAAGTAGTGTCATCAACCTGTAAAAGGGTTTGGTCAGTAAATTTTCGTGGATTTTTGAATACTTGTTTGTGATAAGTATTTTGGGTGGTAGTGACAGTTAAGTCATTACTTTGTAAGACGTGTTCTGGTTTATATAAAGGATTTGTCTTGCCCTGGTGGTCGGTTAGTTTTTTATAACCTATTGTTCCGGGTTGAATTTCGACAGGGTCTTTTCGTTTTTCGTTGGCTTTAGAAATTACTTTTTCTTTATGCTCGGTCATTTTATTATGAATGTTTTTATAAATATCTGAGATTATCTCTTTATGCTTATTTAGTTCGTGATTAATTAATTGGGTATCGTTATCAATATCGATTGGTTTCTTTAATTGGAGGTGACCAAAAATTAAATCGATTGGTTTCTACTTTGTTGCTGAATGGATTGAATTGTTATACCCTATAATAGCAAAGTTCAATTTTTCAAATGGATTTAGGTTTGGTTTGGACAAAACTAGAGTCCGCATGTGCTCTAATAGTGTAGAGTGAAATCGTTCAACAATAGAGTTGCTATTCGGGTTTAAGGGCAAGGTGTAATGCCAATTGGTTTTATAAAGTTTGGCGAATTCTTTAAGAAGATTTTGATTGAATTCGGTACCATTATCAGATACGATGTTTTCTGGGATTTTGTAATTTGAGACAAATTGTAAGAGAGATTGATAGACGTGTACGACAGATAAGCTTGGTAGGACATAGGCTTGTCCAAATTTCGAGAAACTATCACAAATTGTTAATGCAACAGTTTTTTCAAATTTGAAAGTATCCACATGAATGGTTTCAAATGGTTTTTTAGGCGTGGGTGTTAATTGCAATTTTATCAATGGTGGGTGACGTTCATATTTCACTTGTTGACAGATTGAGCAACTATTTATGAATTTTCTGACATCATCATTCATTTTGGGCCAATAATATTTTAGGCGTAGTTGGTCAATCGTTTCGTGAATGCCTCTATGATTGGTGATACCTTCATGTTGGCTTTTAATGAGATTTTTCTGCCTATCTTCTTTAGTTACATCGCAAAGCATTTTATTAGATTTCAAAAACTTGTAAGTTGCATGTTTAAATGTTTGCGGTATAAACCTACACATTTGCTTAAACAGCATTTCGTCTTCGTCATTTTGAAAAAGAAAGACGTATTGCCTTTTTGGTTCTACGTATTCTTTTATGTATTGGATAATTTGTGCTTGGAAAGAATCGTTTGTTACGTAAATATACCATCGGGTTCTATTTACAGGATTTTGGAAAATTTTCTTTATTTCAATTCGGGGGTTATTTTCGACTTTTATAATGACTATTTGACAAAGAAAATAATTTATTGGTTTTTCACTAATGTGAATAGATAAAATGGGATTTTCAGAATCGGTATGTATTGTGTCATTATCATTAAATTCGTCAGGGTCAGCTTGGCCAGCAATTGACTGGTTGTCGGTCGCAACATCGGGATTGTTTTCATTATTTTCAAAAGCTGTTGTAATTTGATCATTGGGTCCGTGACTTGTGCTCGGAAGCTGATTGTCTAGAACGGAATTATTGTTGTATTCTTGCATATACTGCAAAACAGGCGGTAAATTTGAGTCAAGTTCAGGTGGTGTTGGCGAAGTATCATTTACTTCATTTGCGTTTATCTCGACTCTAGATAGCGCGTCGGCATTTTTATTGTTTTTGCCTTTTTTATAAATTATCTGATAGTCGAATTCCTCGAGTTTCAGACGCCATCGAACTAAACGTGAACCTGAATTTTGTTCTTTTAAGTTCATTAGCCATTGAAGGGGACGATGGTCGGTGATAATTTTGA